AATGCCATGATGTGGACACTTAACAAGCATACCCTTGAACCTCTCTCACATTTCTTGTAGTGATTTTGTCGGTCTCTGCCTGAAGCTCCATATATCATTAATTTGTTTGGCATCTTTATTGGGTGAGTAGAACTTGTTCAAAAATTGCTTGACTAATTCCTCCCAACTAATGATGGAATTTATGGGGAGTGAATTAAGCCAAGTCTGAGCTTCTTCTATCATCGAGAATGGAAACAACAACAACTTTATTTCTTCAGGTGTCATATTAGGTTGCCTTTGCATGACACATATCGACAGGAAATTCTTCACATGCTGCTGAGGATCTTCAATGTATGACCCTAAGAACAGTCCATTGTTCTACAATAAATGTAGCATGTTGTTTGTGATTTGAAATGATTCCGCTTGTATCTGAGGGAGTGCAATTGTGGTTGCCAGATTGTCGGCGGTGGGTTGGGCCTAATCATATAATACTGCTTCTGGTACAAGAAGCACCACACCCTGGTTGTTTGGTTCATTTGCATTGTTTCTGTTGTTGATTGGATTTTCTATTCCGTCATCCATGTCTGGTTCGATTTGGTCTATCGAGTTTTGTTATTGTTTGCCTTTCTTGTTTGCACGATTTAGTGCCTTGAAAACTTTCTCAGGATCTGATAATGCTTCGAGCAATTCACCAGTTCTCGAGGAGTTCCTAGGCATGCACCCGTAACACCCAAGACTACAAACGTTACAATTTCAATGTATTTGGTTTAAAATGAAGAAAATTGACTACACTAAGAATTCTAGCACTTCTTTTAGCTGCAATTAATAACACCGTTAAGTCCCCGGCAACGGCACTAAAATTTGACCACGCCCAACTATGCCTTATAAAAAGGACTAAGCGATCGTTGCAAATATATTCCGGCTAATAAGTCTAGAGTCGAATCCCACAGGGAATTAACCTATCAAACAGAGTTACTAGACTCGCACGAACTCACGCAATCAATCTTCATAAATATTTAGTAACAATTTGGATGTTTACTAACTAAATATTACGTAATGAAAATACAACAATTAATAACTAACTACTAACAGGTTGTAGACAATAATTGGAATGATCTAAGGTTGTGATTTCCCCTATTGTCGGAATCTTTTTCGCTACGTTTTCTATAAATTTGCCTAAGTCTTCTCTATCGATCATGAGCACTCTGAATATCGTAACTCTCTCTCGAGTAATTACCACAATTTACTAGACATATGCTCCCGAATTACGCTAGCTGGCATTAAGTACGGCTTACTCGGATCGCACCAAGGTTTCGTTATCCCTAATCCCACCTTTAAACACTTTGTATTGATCCCTCATATATGTTAGGAGTGATGTTGTTCAACAACTACCTAAATATGCACTCTCTCCTGAGTAATACATACTAAATAGGCACAACCAATTGAAGGGCCTTCAATCAACCACAATAATATTATAGTTGAACAAACAGAGAAAATACTACGACAAATCTATATTAACATAACAAGAAAATCATCCTTCAATAGGTTGCATCAAAACCTTAGATTAGGAGTTTAGCTACTCATACTCATAGTAACAATATCCAAAATATTTTGCATAATTAAATTACAAAGTAAGGATAAAGGAATGTAGAAATCGACGAGTCTAGCTCCCAACGGTTGTTCTACGAGCTATCCTTACCTCTGGTAGCCAAAAGTCCTCAAAAGTGGCATTTTTAGGTCTATTCATATGTATAGGAAAGACCTAAATGCGTAGGCCAAGTCCTAGTCAAACCAGGAGACGAAATAAGTCTTCAAATCTCGGAATGTGCATGCCTCAGACTTGGTCTCGCGAGGCATAACGCCAGCTTAAGCTCGCCCAGGCCTTGCGTCACGAGGTATAATGCCTGCTTGAGCTCGCCCCAAGCCTGGAGTTGCCATCTCACACGCGAGCTAAAGGGCTTGCCCAGCCTGCTCTAACACCTAGCTTCACCAACTTTTCATTTGTCGGCTGCTCACTTCTTTCTTTCTTCTTTTCAACTATTTTCGATCACGCTTTAGACTTTAATTATTCATTTTGCTCTACTTTTATCTCCAATTCACCTACACATAAAATAGACTCCATTACGCACAAATAAAGTATAATATATCATTAAAGCATATAAAATGCAAGGCGAATAATGTGCTAAACTATAGAATTATAGCCACACATCATTGATGTATTCATCTAATGCTCATAAGATTTGGATGGACTTGAAAGACCATTTTGATAAAAGAAATCTTACATGAGTTTATCAGCTACATAGGGAAATCTACACAATGACACGTGGGACTTCTACTATATCTGAGTACTTCTCTAAGTTGCGTAACGTTTGGGATGAATACCTTTCATTAGTTCCACTGCCTGGGAGTGACAAGGCTTATGCAAATTATATGGAACAACAGAAGTTAATGCAATTTTTAATGGGCTTAAATGAGACTTATGCACAGTTACGCAACCAGATTTTGATGACAGTTCCAAGTCCATCACTGAACCAAGCCTACAATATGCTCATGCAAGATGAAAGCCAACGAATGCAGTCAAATATGATAACACAATGTGCTCAACCATTACAAAACCTGGATTTGAATGATCCTACAACTCTTGCTACTATATAGAATAACAAGTTTAAGAAACCAAACAGATTATACTGTGATTATTGCAATATGAAAGGACATAAAAGGGAGAATTACTACAAATTGGTTGGGTATCCACCCAATTTTAAGGCTAACAGGAAGAAAGGTTTTGAGAGGCCAATTACTTGGGGCACTTAGATGCATCAGGCTCCAATATTCCTGCTCATCCATCTACTCAGTACATGCCAATGACTACTTTCACTCCTGAACAGTATCAACAGATCCTACAGCTGATCAATAAGACAGTACCCTTGCAGGAAGCAGTTGCTAATATGGCAGGTATATCTAATTTCTCTAATGTTAGTTTATTTGAAGGTATTGAATCCATTCCATGGGTGGTTGACACATATGCAACAAATAATATGGTTTCTAGATTGAATATGTTGCTAAATCCTGAACTAATTAGACCTAATGCCAGCAAAATTCATTTACCAAATGGTCATGTGACCTCTGTTACACAAGTTGGTTCAGTTTCACTGTTTAATGATGAACTAACAAATGTCCTCTATGTTCCTCTTTTCAAATATAATATTTTGTCTATCTCAAAACTAACCAAACAACTGCAATGTTGTGTGGGTTTTTATCCTGATTTCAGCATCTTCCAGGACCTTTGCACTGGCAAGGTGAAGGGAATTGGTAAGGAGAAGGATGGTCTATACTTACTTCAACCTACCAAGAAGTTATCACCTGTTAAAGCACATGGTTCTCAGCACTTCAGTCTTCCCTATATCTTCACAACATTGTTTATCTTCTGCTCAATCTCATCAATTCTCAATGTGGCACCAGAGATTTGGTCATGCATCAGCTGCTGTTCTTCAGAAACCTCCTTTCTTACAAATTCATTTGTTCAATAAAGTGTCTTTGTCTTGTACAATTTGTCCTTTGGCAAGACAAACTAGGTTTCCATTTCCTACTAGTACTTCTAAAACTATCTCTCTTTTTGAACTTGTACATATGGATGTGTGAGGTCCATATAGACAATGTACTTACAATGGTTATAGATATTTTCTTACTATTGTTGATGACTATTCTAAAATGACTTGGGTTTATTTGATGAGAATTAAAAGTGATGTCATTGTTTTACTCAGAAATTTCTTTGCCTTGATTAAAACTCAGTTTTCTGCTTCTATCAAAACTATTAGATCAGTCAATGGACTTGAATTTTTCAATTCTCAATGTAACACTCTTTTTATTTCTCTTGGAGTGGTGCATCAAAGTTCATGTGTTCATACCCCTCAACAGAATGGGGTAGCTGAGAGGAAACACAAGCACTTGCTTGAGATGGCAAGGGCACTCAGGTTTCAAGTTATGCACCTCTAAAGTTCTGGAGTTAATGTATTCTTACTGTCGTGTTCCTAATAAACAGACTGCCTTCCTCAATCCTTTCTGGCAAGTCTCCTTATGAGGTTTTTCATAGTACACCTCCTTCAATTCAACATCTCAAGGTGTTTGGTTGTTTATGTTATGCAACCAAACCCAACTTTACTGACAAATTCTCTTCCAAAGTAATCCCAGCTGTGTTTACAGGATATTTAGACACTCAAAAAGGATACAAACTATACAATATTGCTACTGGATCCTTCTTTGTTAGCAGAGATATGTCCTTTAGAGAGTCAGTGTCCCCTTTTAGATTTCCTAAGTCCACCTTCCTTGAACCTTCTACCTCATTTTTTAATTCTCCATCATTCACAGATGATTCCTTTCCAAACTGTCCAGTCTCTCAACCTCCTAAGCAAAGCATCACTGATTCCTTACCATCTATGGACTCATTTGTTCCTCAATCACCTACCTCTCAACCTGTATCTCCTGACTTATCATCAACCTCCAGTTCTCACTCATCTCCTTTACCACTACCACCTTTGAGAAAGTCCATTAGGACCTCCAAACCTCCCATATGGCTCACAGATTATGTCCACTCTTCTGTCACACCTACCCAATCTCTGCCTCCTTATCTTATTCTTTCCTTTCTTCTTCCTATCAAGCATACCTGGAAGCTCTTTCCTCTATCGCTGAACCTGCATCTTTTAAGCAAGCTGCCAAGGATAGCAATTGGATTCAGGCTATGAAGCTTGAGATTGAGGCCCTTACTAACAATCATACATAGGAAGTGGTGGATTTGCCTGTAGGTAAAACACCTATTGGATGTAAGTGGGTGTATGAGGTAAATTATAAGGCGGATAGTAGTGTTGAAAGGTATAAGGCCAAATTAGTGGCCAAAGACTTTACTCAACAGGAGGGTCTTGATTATCATGACACCTTCTCTCCTATATTGAAGATGGTGATTGTCAGATGTATTGTGTCTTTAGCTGCTCAGCACAATTGGCCACTCTACCAGATGGATATCTACAATGCCTTCCTTCAGGGAGACTTGTTTGAGGAAGTCTACATGTCCTTGCCATAGGGATTTGGTAGCCAGGGGGAGAATAAGGTTTGTAGACTCCTCAAATCACTATATGGCCTCAAACAAGCAAGTAGGCAATGGAATTTGAAGCTTAACACTACTCTTATCAATTCAGGTTTTATTCAAAGCAAGTTAGATTATTCCCTGTTTACTAAAAGGCAAGATACACACATTGTCATAATATTAGTGTATGTTGATGATTTGCTTATTACTGGTAGTGACATCAAGCTGATACAAGAGGCTAAGCACATGCTTAATAACAACTTCAAAATAAAAGACTTGGGTGAGTTGAAGTATTTCCTGGGAATAGAGTTTGCCAGGTCATTCAAAGGCATACTCATGAACCAGAGAAAATATGCTCTAGAGTTGATATCAGAATGTAGCTTAGGGGGAGGAAAGCCAGTTATAACCCCTTTGGAGCAGAATCAGAAGCTCACTTGTTGGAGTATGACAAATTATTTGAACTTGACACTGATAAAGAGATGGAAGATAGAAGACCTTATCAGAGGTTGATGGGAAGACTCCTCTACCTAGTAATCACATGACAAGACATATCCTTTGCAGTCCAAACATTGAGTCAGTTTATGCATGCTCTAAAAGATTCACACTATGAAGATGCATTAAGGGTGGTTAAATATGTTAAAAGCCAGCCAGGCCTAGGACTTCTGATGAGCAGCAACAAGTCCAGGAAGATCACTGCCTTTTGTGATGCTAATTGAGCATCTTGTATGGTGTCTAGAAAGTCTATCACTGGGTTTTGCATAAAGCTGGGAGAATCACTAATTTTATGGAGGTCCAAGAAGCAGAGTAAAGTATCAAGAAACTCAGCTGATGCTGAGTATAAGAGTATGGCAACCACAGTAGCAGAGCTGGTTTGGTTGCATGGGTTGTTAGAGGAATTGGGAATGGAGGTTGATCTACCAATGGAGTTATTTTGTGATAACAAGGTAGCTCTTCAAATAGCATCGAATCCCATGTACCACGAGCGTACCAAACACATAAAGACAGACTATTATTTCATCCGGAAAAAACTGCAGCAGGGGTTAATCAAGACAAAATATTTTGCCACCAAAGAGCAAGTTGCAGACATTCTAACTAAGGCTCTGGAGAAACAACTGTACAATGAAATGTTATGCAAGTTGGGGATGATCAATGTATTTCATCACCCAACTTGAGGGGGAGTGTAGAAAATATTATTAGCTGTGATAGTTGTACTTAATGGATATAGAGTAGTACTTTGTTAGTTGCATAATTAGTTAGCTAAGGACTATGTTAGGAGATAGTTAAGTTAGCTAGTTAGTGAGTTGTATAAATAGGCATGTACATACACATTGTAATTATGATTGAAGAAATGAAATTGAGATTTTCTCTCTCCTTCTCTCTGTAACCGACTCAAGCTCTCACTCTCTGACCCAACTCTATTTCCTCTTTTAACAAATACCCCTATAGGATAACCAATTACGGAAATATATTTCAGAATCGACCACCTAACCCTAGCTTGTACAACAAAAATCATATCCACAAACATTAATTATATTAATATCTTCATTAGGGGAGGGGGCTTAAATATATAATTTTAAAATATAAGGGATGTGTCTGTAATCAAGTAAATTAAATAAACTGAAGTCACACATTCAAAATGAAGTAAATTAAATATTAAAAATTCATACATATTAAATTCTATAAAGCTTATAAAAGAGAAATAAACGTAAAAGCTTTTTTAGTATTTTTGTTTTCATTATATATGTGATTTTAGTGTGTGTGTGTGTGTGTCTATATATATATATATATATATATATATATATATGATTTAATTTTTGGCGGTAAGTGCATTTTCTATATCCAACCATGGAGGTTTGGAAGTTGGTTGGAATTTATTAGTGCTTTATAACAAGAACTTACAGTGAATGTTCGTTCTGTGGTAAGGCTCCAAATGATGCAGTCTGGGGCTATTGAATTAAAAGGTAAATAGATATTATTAATCATTTTTATTAGGGCTTGAGAAAATTCGAAGGAGATGACTGGAGATATGTTTTGGCCCTTATTGAGGACCTCTTGGATGGTGAGTTCATCCTCTTTGTTTTGTAGAGGTCCTTCAATTAGGGTACAAATAGGCATATTAGGTGCCAACCAATTTTTTGTCCAGAACTTGACGTGTGTGCCTTGTGTGACATGCCACACTAGATCTTTTGGCATGCTTGCCATCCCTTAGTGATGTGTTTTCAAAGAGTGGATGTTTTTGCTAATGGCTTCTTATTACTGTGGAAATAATTGGATAGGAGTATGGATGCCCAAAGTGATTGGTGGTTATGGAATAATCTCCATGATGTACTGGCAAGTAAGGCTGTATTTTTTTCTTTAAGTTTTTGTATTCCCAAACCTCTTTGGTCTTTTGGGTTAGTAACATTATCCCATTTTATTAGATGGAGACGTTTCTTTTGGGCTGTTGTGCCCCAAAGAAAATTCTTTTGAAAGGATTCTAGTCGAGTGATGATGTAATTTGGAAGAGCTTTGAATTGCATTATATGGTTTGGCAATGAGTTAAGAGTTGCTTTGATCAGGGTTGTACGCCCTGCTAGTGATACATGATTTGTTTTCCAACCTGCTAGTCTATTCTTTAAATTGTCAATAAAAAATTAAAAATCTTGTTTTCTATGTTTGTCTCTAAATATTGGGAATCCTAGATATTTCCCAAACGACCTGCCTTCTATCATGTTAAAGGAATTTAGTACTAAATATTCTTCTTCTTGCTTTGTATATTTTGAAAAGAAAACTTTTGACTTTTCAAAATTGATTTTTTGGCCCGAAAGAAAAGTGAATTATTCAAGTTGGTCGATAATAGTATTACAACTTTTTGTATTAATTTTTGAGGCTAAAATAATGTCATTAGCAAAAAATAAGTGGGATATGCGGGAGGACTTAGGTTTGATGGAGACTGGTTGCCATTGATTGTAATCAATAGCTCTGTTAATATTACGTGATAGTATTTTCATGCACATTATGAATAGATAAGGGGGAGTGGGTCTCCCTGTCAGATACCCCTGGTCGGAGTAAAGAAATGTGTTGGTATACCGTTGATAATAATTAAGGTAGTTTGTCTGGTTACACAGGACTTGATAATTGTGATTACATGGTCAAGGAAGTTGAAGTATGTTAGGGTTTGTAAGATAAACGTCCATTCTAATCGATCAAAAGTTTTTTCTAGGTCAATTTTTAAGAGCATGTTTGAGCACTTTGATTTCGACCTGCGAAAGTGATTAAGCAACTCCTGCACAATTATTGCATTATCTGTAGCTCGACAGTTTGTTTGAAAAGCAGATTGAGTTGGGTGAATAATATGATCGAGTAAAGACTTGATACGATTAACTAGAATTTTTATAATAATCTTGTAGATAGTATTACATAAACTAATAGGTCTAAAATGTGAAGTGTTGGAGGGCCTTTTAATCTTGGAAATTAAACAAATATAAGTCTTGTTTACTTTTTCATGGATGTGGCCCTTTTGAAAAATGTCTTTGCAGAAAGGAATTATTGAGTGCTTAAGTTGATTCCAATATTTTTGGAAAAGATTGGGTATAATCCGTCTGGTCCTGATGATTTTAAAGTCTTGAATGAAAATATGGCTTCAGTAATTTCTTTATCAGTAACCGGATTTTGTAAGAAATTAGCTTGTTCCTGTGTAATCATGTTAAACGTGGCTATTGTGTACTTATAATTAGAGTGGGTGTGAGAAGTTGTGTATAGTGCTTGGTAATAGTCTGTGATTAGTGTTTTTAAGCTTTCATGATTTGTGATCTAGTTTTTCATGTTTTCTTTTAGAGCATTAATACGATTACGTCTCCGTCTTTTTAAAGTAGATAAAAGGAAGAATCTAGTATTTGCATCTCCATCATTCAACCAGTTTACTCTAGATTTTAATTTCCAAAGAACTTCTTCAAGTTTTAAAATGCGGTTGAATTGTGTTTGAAGGTCCTGCTCTTATTTTTGTAAAAAGTAACTCGTTGGGTAGTTATTAGATTTTTGTATGCCCGCTAAACGAGCTTGAATATGCTTTTTTTTTGGTGAAAAATATTTCCAAAAGTGTCTTTGTTCCAAGTTTGCACAAGATTAGTGAACTTCTCAATAGCTTGTAATAAGGGAATATTTTATGCCATACATGGTTGACTAGTTGAGAAAAATCTTGATGTGATAACCACATTGTTTCTAATCTAAACATACTAGTCCTTGGAGGGGGACTGCTATTTAGAGTTAAAAGTCGCGGACTATGAGCGAATAAATTCTGGGTAGATGGTACACTTGTGCTTCCAAAAAAATATTAAGCTATTCATAATTAGCTACTATTCGATCTAATTTTTCCAGAATTAAAGATCATCTACGACGTTTATTAGTCCACGTAAATTTACTGCCTCTAAAGCCTAAATCTATTAGTTGGCAATAATTTAAACAATTTAACATTAAATCTGCCCTAGGATTGTTGATAGGGCATCCACCAAATTTTTTATTTGAGTATAGTATTTCATTAAATTCTCCCCCACTAACCAAGGGCCCTTATAGGAATCTGCTATATACATGAGATTTTACCAAAGTAATTTACGATTAGTTAATAAATTGCTAGCATATATAGCTGATAACATGAAAGAGTGTCCTTGAGGACTTACCTGCACCATGTAGTGGATTTCCTAATTTGTGAGTGCTATTTCAGTGACATGCACAATATTATAGTCCCACAATATCACTATACCTCCTGCTTGTCCCTCCGCTGGAGCTTGCAAATAACTAGTAAAATCAAAGTCATCCCTTAACGTGGCATGATCAGTAAAGTGTGTTTCTAAGAGTACTAACAGTGGTGGCTTGTAGTAATTGAGCATAGATCTAAAGTTTCTCCTAAAATCTGGAGACTATGCTCTACGACAATTCCAAATGATGAAATTCATGGAGTTAGTTCATGTGGGTAGATCTAGGGGGGCTGTATGAGGCTACTCTAGAGTTTGTGTCTCCTCCATATGTGGTGGGGTCATTTCCCTTAGTAATGGAGTGATCACTACAGCAAACTTCCCCGTCTCCGAGTTTACTGTTGGGCGTAGCTTGATCAAACATTTGGTCACTTCTGGGGGCAGCTGAGCACTATTGTTTTGGCGTATTGCTCCTTTAGGACGATGATATGGCAAGCCCCTAGCCATACTGGTTCCGTTCTTGTTTCCCTCATCTCTTCCATGACTGCTGCGAGTTCCTGAGGTGAAATAATTTCTTGGTCATTTAGAATGGTGGTTGTGGGCTCATGGAGCTTGGTGAAGGAGTAAGTGGTTCGAATGGGCTCATTGGGGATAGTGGCATCATTGGTGGTTGTATATAAGTATGATCGTGTATCCGTGGAATGGAAGACTATGTTAGTGGGTAGAAGGGAAGCTCCTCGTAGTTGTTTAGGTGGTATGGATGAGGAATGTTCCATACATAAGGGTATAGCTGGGGTTGATGATGTATCCCCCATATGTGTGGGGGATTTGTTTTATGTGTTAGGCCCATCGGTACTGGCCATAAAGATTCATGGCAGCCGTCATGCCTCCCGTTACTATTTGTGCTAGGTCTTGGGGAGTTTGGAGACGAATGATCACTTTTTGATTGTTCACTATCATTGAGAAAGTCAATGCATGGTTTTGTAACCCCATCTCGAGCCAAGATTGGGGAGGATTGAAGGGGTTTGGAGTTTGGGAGGTATAAA